AGCTGTGAGTTCCAACTTTGTCAATCACTTTCGTTCGCCATTGTCATGGGCAAGCTTGGGGACGAGACATCAGACAGCAAGCAGCCGCAGATGAGTGGCGCCAAGGAGAATGATCTTCCATCTGAGTACCAGATCCATAACTCCGATAGTCCAGGAAACATGCTGGTTGGCGAGGTTTTGACGGCATCGAACTATGGAGAATGGGCAATGGATATGAGAGATGCCCTGTTAGCGAAGAATAAATATGGATTCGTTGATGGGACGATTGAGAAACCAAACGATCCGTTAGAGCTACGAGCTTGGGTGCGCTGTGATGCCATGGTTAAAGGGTGGTTGAAAACCTCCATGGACAAGGAAATCAGAAGCAGCATCCGCTTTGCTGAAAGTGCTCGCGGAATATGGGCTGATTTGAGTGAAAGATTTGGGCAAGGGAGTGCTTCTAGGGCGTACGAGCTGCGTCGCCTCATTAGCACCTTGCAGCAAGAGAAGAACTCCGTGTCGGCATTCTACACAAAGCTCAAGGCGCTCTGGGAAGAGGCATCAGCCATCTCGCCGATTCCAAGTTGCGTCTGTGGCCTTTGTACATGTGGGGTCTCGCGCAAGGTTAGAGAACAGCAAGAAAGCTCCAGGCTTTTTGACTTTTTGATGGGATTGGATGAACCTTTTGCTCCAGTTCGTACTCAAGTGCTAGCTATGAAACCCACACCGTCCTTACCTGAGGCGTTTAACATAGCCATGAACGAGGAGCAGCAGAAGATGATCTCACAGCACAAGAAGCCCCAACCCGAAGCAGCTGCCTTCGTGGCCCGTGGCGAAGTCGAGCGGGGAAGTAGAAGCACGGGGGAGCGCGAGAAGTTGCGCTGTACGCACTGCCAAAAGGTTGGGCACACTCGAGAGATGTGTTATGAGCTAATCGGGTATCCTCCCCGTGACCGTGATCGCGATCGCGATCGCCAAGGAGACAAGCAGCAGAAGCGCAACGTGAGGCGCAATGAAGGCTCGGGTCGGGAGCCAAAGGCCTCGCAAGCTGAAGTGGAACAAAGTCCTGTAACTGGTTTCACTATACAGCAACTGGAACAGCTGAAGAAGTTCTTTGCGGGTTCACAGCCGAGTGGTGAGGATCCGGTTGCAAATATGGCAGGTATGATTTCTGAAACCTCCGAGTGGTTGCTTGATTCAGGGTGTAATGAACACATTACTATGGATGATTCATTAGTATCAAAGAAAGAAGTGAACATTGATGGCCAGCCAGTTAGAATTCCGAATGGGGCAAGCATTCCGGTTAAACATATTGGATCTATTACTCTGCAGTCTGGGTTGAAATTTAGCCGAGTATTGCATGTACCTGAGTTCCGTTGCAATCTGGTTTCTGTGAGTCGATTAGTGAAGGATAACAACGTCGCATTAATCTTTCTTGATGGTTTCTGCGTCATCCAGGACTTACACTCCAGGAAATTGATTGGGAAGGGTGAGCTTCGAGATGGCCTTTATTACCTCCGGTTATTTGGGAATGGGAGAATGAAGGCTTGTGCAGTTAGTGGGAACAGCTCCATTTCGGAATCGACCTGGCACGCTAGGCTAGGCCATCCATCATTCGAGAAGATGCAGCGGCTTGGCAGTGTCTTGTCTGTTAATTTTCATTCAAATAATGAACTTTGCCATCCTTGTTCTCGAGCAAAGCAAACTCGTCTACCTTTTTTGAGTAGTTCGGTTAAGACGAAGTCGGTTTTTGAACTTGTTCATGTTGATATATGGGGTGGATACAAGACTGCTTCCCTTAGTGGAGCCTATTATTTCCTTACTATCGTCGATGATTTTAGTCGTGGTGTTTGGGTATATTTGATGCGGTATAAGTCTGAAGTTGGGCGTTATATACAGCTTTTCTGTAACATGGTTCGTCACCAGTTTGGCAAGCCTGTTCGGCGCATACAAGGAGATAACGGGCTTGAATTTAACACTGAGGCACTCAAGGTGTATTATGAAACTGAAGGAATTCTACTTCAGACTTCGTGCACAGATACACCCCAGCAAAATGGTGTGGTAGAAAGAAAACATCGACATATTCTTGACACTGCTCGAGCCTTGAGATTCCAAGCGAATTTACCAATTCGTTTTTGGGGCGAATGTGTACTTACTGCGGTCTATCTCATCAACAGGCTACCTACCGTGGCCACTGGTACAACACCGTTTGAGAAAATCTTTGCTCGCCCTGCTAGTTATCGTCACTTGCGTGTTTTTGGTTGTCTGGCTTACTACAAAGACACCCATGGTCATCTTGATAAGTTCGCTGAGCGGGGGCGAGCCGGTGTATTCCTGGGATATGCTGCTAGCAAGAAAGGATACAGGATTTATGATCTACTCAGTCGCAAGTTAGTGACCTCCCGTGATGTGGTTTTCCATGAGGACACCTTCCCTTTTCGACTGCATGATGGGGAACAACTTCATTGGATACCCCGGCCATCCTTGCGAGCTGAGCACTTCGAGAAAGATGACCACGAGGATATGGGTAATGTCCCTTTGGACAACACAATTCCAACTGCAGGAGTGGATGCCTCCACGCCGCCGCCGGAACAGCGGGATTCCTCTTCCCCGCCACAAGCTGTGGCAACCCAGCAGAATTTGGGCATGGATGCAGCAGGGGTCTCCTCGCCAGTTCGCAGCTCTCCCATGCCCGCAGCTGTTCCCCGCCGCGGTGATCGCGTCCGCTACCGGCCGAAGCATTTGGACATGTATGACACGTCCACTGGTGCACATCGCACTTCCACTTCTACTGATCAGGGAAGTTCCTCCCATTGTGCTAAATATCCCTTAGCATCTTATGTTGCTTATGATAATTTCTCAGACTCATACTGTGCTTTTCTTGCTGCAGTCACCAATAATGATGAACCCACATCATTTCAAGAGGCAATGCGCGATCCCCGTTGGCGTGAAGCCATGACGCGCGAGGTGATTGCCTTGATAGAAAATGGGACTTGGACCCTCGTTGAACTTCCTCCCGGCAAACGGACCATAGGGAATAAGTGGGTTTTTAAGATCAAGTTCCTTCCCGATGGGACAATAGAGCGGTACAAAGCTCGGCTTGTGGCAAAGGGGTACACACAGATCGAAGGGCTCAATTTCCACGATACATTTGCTCCAGTTGCAAAGTTAGTGACTGTACGCTGCTTGATAGCTGTTGCAGTAAGTCGTGGGTGGCACCTACATCAGTTGGATGTGAACAATGCGTTCCTGCATGGAGATCTTGACGAGGAAGTGTACATGGACATTCCTCAAGGCTTCCGTGCACCCGGCGACACCAGAGTGTGTCGGCTTCACAAGTCACTTTATGGCCTGCGCCAGGCCTCTCGCAACTGGTACCAAAAGTTTACGGCTGCCCTGTGTGAATATGGTTTCCGCGGTCGTGGGGGAGCACTTTTGTCGTCGCACTTATATACGTGGACGATGTGTTATTGACGGGTAATGACCTACAGTTCATCACCACAGTTAAACAGTTTCTGCATGACCGATTCAGCATCAAGGATCTTGGACCACTTCGTTACTTTCTGGGAATTGAGGTGGCTCGCACTGCTGATGGTATTGCCCTCAGTCAGCGCAAATATGTCTTAGATATATTAGAGGATGCAGGTCTGGAGGGATCGCGACCGAGTTCATTTCCCATTGAACAGAATCATCAGCTGACACAACCGACAGATGAATTGTTGAAAGATCCGGCTCCTTATCGCCGACTAGTTGGTCGTCTTCTCTACCTAACCATCACGCGCCCCGGATATTACATATGCGGTCAACATCTTGAGCCAGTTCGTCCATGCTCCTAGTCCCATGCACATGGACGCAGCTTATCGTGTTCTCCGTTACCTCAAGGCTTCCCCCGGCAAAGGTTTGTTTTTCCCGGCAGCTAATCCTCTTCGTTTGACTGCTTATTGTGATGCAGATTGGGGTGGGTGCCAGCGTACTCGACGGTCCACCACTGGCTATTTCATCAGTCTTGGGAGCGCCCCGGTGTCGTGGCGCACCAAGAAACAGCGGGTCGTTGCTCGTTCTTCTGCTGAGGCTGAATATCGTGCCATGGCGAGCACGGTTAGTGAAGTTCTCTGGCTCCGCTGGCTGCTCCGTGAGTTGGGTGTTCAGCATGACGAAGCGACACCATTACACTGTGACAATCAGGCGGCATTACACATTGCAAACAATCCAGTCTTCCATGAACGTACAAAGCATGTGGAGATGGATTGTCATTTTGTTCGGGAACGAGTCCAATCCGGCGAGATTCTTCCCGTCAAGGTGCACACTACGTTGCAGCTTGCTGATATCTTGACTAAGGGTCTTGGCAGTGATCGTTTTCATTTTCTTCCGTCCAAGCTCAACGTTCGTGACCTTCACCGTTCAGCTTGCGGGGGAGTATTGGGCCGGGATACACACAAAGAGACCGATGAGTGTTCTCGGCCCAACACAGCCATCAAGCCCATGTCGTATGCAGCCTGGTCGAGTTCACCTACGACAGAGAGGAGAGTTTGTTCTCCAAGTTCTACCCTAGTTACGTCAGGAGAGGGATATATGTATTCTTTCATGGCTCATAGCCGAACTGTGCATTAAAAGAAAACCTAATAAAGAATAGCTGAGGGTGCTCAACCCTCCGTGGATTAGTCTCGATCATCAATAGATCGAGGATACCACGTAAATATCGTGTGTTCTTGTTGTCGTTTATCACTTTCTTACACATATTGTTGCAAAGTTTTTTTGGAACAAACCTTGAAAGTTGAAACAGTAGGTTTTTTTTTTTTTTTTTTGTCTGAGTCAGATGAAACAGTAGAGCTCCTTTTATCACAAAAGAATTAGGCAAACAGTTGGTATATTAATTTCACGCCCCACTCTCTCTCTCTCTCTCTCTCTCTCTCTACCTACCTATCTCTCTTGATTCGTTTGTTTATGAATTGTGAAGAAGAACGCCCCCTGAGTAAAGACGTAAAGAGGTGAAAGGAACACCTCTATTTATGCTTGCTCACCAAACACTAACTTCTCATCCTTCACGCCAAAAATCCGTCTTCTCTGCCCTGCAACAAGCCTCTCACTCTCTCTCTTCCCCTGCGTTCCCTTGCTCCTCATTTGGCCTTGCCCCCGTTTCCCATTATAGCTTAAGCTCACTATCCTTTTCGTCCTCCTGTCTTCGTTCTCTTCTTCTGCTGTTTCTCTACTTCCAATCTCAGGTCATTTTACGTACCCGCAACTCTCTTCCGCTCCTTTTCTCTTTCCACACAAATATGTAAACTCCGCTTCTTCTGGTCTTCCAAGTGTTTGTGTTTTTGCGTCAAAGGGCGGTGTTCTCTTCTCAATAATGTAATCTCGATTAAAGTTGCTCTCTTTTGTTTCTTTTCTCTTCTGAGTTAATGCCCATTTGCTTCAAAGTGCTTTGAATCCGCTTGTCCTGTTGATTTCAAATCATGGGCTGTCGTTAAATCTTCCTGGTTTAGCCCCTCTAGAATTTGTGGCTTGCTTTTGGTTCATGCCCATTTGGTGTAAATAGTTCAAAAAGTCTGCAAAAATGCAGGTTCTGGTAATGGGGTTTCGTTAAGTTTGGCAGGTCTTTTGTCTTCCTAAGCCTCGTTACTTTTGAAATTTAACATAGGGGCTTTTTTTAATTGTTTCAAATTCTAACATGTAAATCCTTAATCTCTCAAAGCTGCTTTGGTCTCCTGTCTTTGATTGAAGGGAAGTCTTTCCTAATGGTGAAGTAAAAAATTAGGTGCTCCATGGATCTCAATCTCATTGAAGTCAAACGCTAGTTAGAAACAGAGCAAATGGAGAGCATCTGTTCTTTCCGTTAGTTCAGGCTGTTCTGTCTCATCATGCCTTCAGTGCGCTAAAATCTTCTTGCTTTTTTCCTTATTTAACTGAAAGTGATTTGATCACTGCTAATGGATTCTTTTGTTCTTCACAGTGAACATTCTTAAACATTCATTCCTTTATATACGCATCTCAACTGTTAGATTTTCTAGAATTTTAAACTATACACATACAGGATTCCACACAAATAATCATGGGTCATTTTTACTATTACCTCCCTCCTAAGACCCTGGCCTTCGTTCTTGTTGTCCTTTCCCCCATGGCTCCTTGTTAATCTTCTTCTTTATGCAAATTTAGTTTCTTTGTTGGCCTCTCGAGTCCTAGTCTTGGTTGAGTCTGGTTCATCTTTGTTGGGGATAGAGATTGTGGGCACTGGGCAGAAAAACATCCTATTTCCTTTTGATCAAACCTTAAGTTTCAATGGAGGAGACATTTGTTCCATTGCGTGGTATAAAAAATGACCTCAATGGAAGGCTTTTGTGCTACAAACAAGATTGGACAGGCGGCCTCCGTGCTGGTATAAGGTGAACTTCCATGAGGTCTATTTATTTGAGGAACATTATTAATGTGAAGTATCAAAATGCAAGTAAGGATTAGTTCAGAAGTAATGTTAGAATGTTGCTCATTGTCTTGTTTGATTCAGGATCCTCGCTCCAACGACTTACATTTTCTTTGCTTCAGCAATACCAGTCATATCTTTTGGAGAGCAGCTTGAAAGAAATACAGGTATAAACTCACTGATATATTGGCTACCAGTGTTCTAGTTTTTAGTATCTCCCTAACAACAAACTCTGCTTTGATATTACACAGAAGGAGCTTTGACTGCAGTGCAAACTTTGGCATCAACAGCACTATGTGGGTTCATTCACTCAATTGTTGGGGGACAGCCATTGCTCATACTTGGAGTAGCTGAGCCAACAGTGTTAATGTACACATTCATGTTCAACTTTGCTAAGGACCGCAAGGATTTGGGGCCAAACCTTTTCTTAGCCTGGACAGGATGGTATTACTTGAATCAATCCATTCACTTTTCTGCTGAGCATGGTGGTTTATTTTCTTGCTGTAATGGAGTTCTCTGTTTTCACTTGCATTGGTTCTTAGGGTCTGCGTGTGGACTGCTCTCCTGCTTTTCTTGTTGGCAGTATTGGGCGCTTGCTCTATAATCAACAGATTCACTAGGGTTGCTGGTGAATTATTTGGTCTACTTATTGCAATGCTCTTTATGCAGCAGGCCATAAGAGTAAGTTTAAAATGAAGTGTTGAACATAATAAAGAATTGAGTCCCAATATAGGCGCCATCTGAATTGTGAACGTGATCCTGCAGGGAGTTGTTGAAGAGTTTGGCTTACCTGAGAGAGAAGACCCTCGTGAGACTGCACTGCAGCCTGCTTGGCGTTTTGGGAATGGAATGTTTGCTTTGGTCCTATCTTTTGGTCTTCTTCTGACTGCACTAAAGAGTCGTAAGGCCAGGTCATGGCGCTATGGAACAGGTACGGCTGTTGTATTAAGCTTTTTAACAAAACGCAATAATATGGATAATGGTGCATTCACAGTGAATCTAGTCTCTTATGTAATATTACTATCTCACCTTTTTACAATCTTTGTTTGAAGGCTGGTTGAGAGGAATCATTGCAGACTATGGTGTTCCAATCATGGTTGTTGTGTGGACTGGCCTATCTTACATACCAGTTAGAGATGTTCCAGCCGGAATCCCTAGGCGTCTCTTCAGTCCAAATCCATGGTCTCCTGGTGCATATTCTAATTGGACAGTTGTCAAGGTGAACCTTAACACTGATGCCCTAGAGCAGGACTTTGCAAAGCTTCTCGATCCCATAAATGTTTTTCTTAATTTGCTTTGCTCTTGGCAGGAAATGGTGCATGTGCCACCCTTGTATATCATTGGAGCCTTTATTCCTGCAACCATGATTGCAGTGCTGTACTACTTTGATCACAGTGTTGCTTCACAGCTTGCTCAACAGAAGGAGTTCAATTTGAAGAAACCGGCTTCCTATCATTATGACCTCCTTCTTTTGGGAGTTTTGGTACAAACTTGTTCCTCTAAGATATGATTTGTTCCTCCCATTGCAACTCGTAGATCACAAGAACTTAACTTTTAATGAATTTTACTTGATCAGGTCATAGTATGTGGGCTACTTGGCATCCCACCTTCAAATGGTGTTATCCCACAATCGCCAATGCATACAAAGAGTCTGGCTACCCTGAAACATCAGGTATTACTCAGGTTGCACTATGCTGAATTTACTAATCAAATGTGACCTACATCCTCTCCGTTCATGATTACATCCGTTTGCCCTTGTTCACAGCTGTTGAGGAACAAGCTCGTGTCAACAGCTCGAAAAAGCATCAGTAAAAATTCAAACCTCGGTCAGTTATATAGGAACATGCAAGAGGCATACAATGAGATGCAGACTCCATTGGTCTATCAACAACCATCTGCCCTGGTACATTATTTTGCTACTTACTACTTGTTTACTTTTCTAGAACACGAATCATCTTTCCGTTCCTTTTGCTCCTGGCTTGACTTTGCTGCTGCTGACAGGGATTGAAAGAGCTGAAAGAATCCACCATTCAATTGGCTTCAAGCACTGGCTACATAGACGCTCCAGTTGATGAGACTGTCTTTGATGTTAACAAAGACGTCGATGATCTCTTGCCCGTTGAGGTTAAGGAACAACGCCTGAGCAACCTGCTTCAAGCTATAATGGTTGGTACATGTGTTGCTGCCATGCCTCTCCTGAAAAAGATCCCAACTTCAGTTCTTTGGGGATACTTTGCTTTCATGGCCATCGAGAGCTTGCCTGGAAACCAATTTTGGGAGAGAATCTTGTTGCTTTTCACTGCTCCCAGCCGCAGATACAAGTGAGTTACCTCATGTTCATGTTGCTCGCTCTCCTTGGCGGCCATATCTGGTCAATGCTGACTGTCATTTCAACTTCTACAGGGTGCTGGAGGACAGTCATGCAACCTTCATTGAGACGGTGCCATTCAAGACAATTGCTTGGTTCACCTTGTTCCAGACAGCCTATCTACTTGTATGCTTTGGGCTGACGTGGATCCCCATTGCTGGAGTCCTTTTCCCACTCCTCATCATGCTTTTAGTCCCGGTGCGTCAGTATCTACTGCCCAAGTTCTTCAAAGGAGCCCACCTTCAGGATTTGGATGCTGCAGAGTATGAAGAAGCTCCTGCAGTCTCCTACAACATCGCATTTGAGGTCAGTGCTGTTTTCTCTACTTTATGTGCACCTACAGGAACATTGCAAATGACTTAACGTGATGGTGATGGGTTTATGTTATCCAGGAACAACTTGGTCAAACCAGAACGCCTGAAATCGACGGTGGGGAAGTTCTGGATGAGATGATCACAAGGAGTCGTGGTGAGTTCCGACGTGTGCAGAGCCCCAAACTGACAAGTTCAACTCCAGGTTCCTTGGAGGACATCAAGCCTGCATTTAGCCCGGGATTGTCACAGAGGCGACACAGCCCACGTGTCCGCGAGCTCAAGTCAGAGTGGAGCCCAAGGTACGGAGGGAAGGGAATCGAAGTGAAGAAAACTCCGAGCCCTGAGCCAGGACCAGGACCATCTACCCTTGGCCAGGGCACCCCTGGCTCATCCGTTTAAGTGATCATCCCCTTCTACCTTCCTTTAGTGAGTCCAGCGCCAGCAGCGAATTTGAACTCGAGAGGTCTTTTTCGTTTTTTGTAATGTGTATCGACTAAGTTGGGTGTGCTTGTTTGTCTCGTTGGTTCCCAAGCATTAAGTTGAGTTCCATTCCATGGATCTCTGTATCAGTTTCAGTATTGTTGTTTGGTTATGTCTTAGTTGTAAGCTAGTGGGCAAAGGACAAATTCATGCATGAATGAAATGCATTAAAAATGCATATCATAACAAGCAAGTTGTGATGGTTATGGCACTAACTAGCAACTAGCAAGCATGGTTTGGAGACCGAGAAATCTACTTTAAACCAACTTGGGGGATTCAAAGCTGATGGATGGGTTTTAGCAAGTGGCTTATCCTGATGCATCGTGGGGAACAAGAGAACAAACAATTCATTCATGGTGCTTTATTAAAGAGGTTTAGCTTCCTAACTGAAATCTAGTCACGATTTGCTGCACAGCTTCCTCGTGTCGAGCGGATTTTACTTTCATTATGTCAAGAGAAAAGAAGTGAAATTTCTTCCATTCTCCATCTGGGGGCCGACAACCAATTTTCAGTCATTCCCTTTGTGAATCTTTGCTTAAATCTCTTCCATGAAGATGATTTCTCCATTCTCTGATATGTTTTCTCATATCTGGAGACTCTTTTGTCTTGGTGTTAAAAGGGTTGATGTCTTCTGACTTCAACAATTCTTCATCTTTTCATTCTATCTGCCTACCTCCTTGTTTCTAACAATACATCGTGTGATTCGGAGATGTTGTAGCTTTTCGTGTATCAGTTCGAACCCGGTGTGGATTTATGCGATTTTCGATTTTTGAAGACCTCAAAAAGTTATAGTACGGAATAAAAAAAATCGCATCAATTAAATAATCGAGCACAAAATTGCATCGTTTGAAGTTTTGAAGTGTGTTAGGTGTAGATCGCCAGACAAGGCAAGATCGTTGGAGGCATCAACGATCCGGGGTAAATGTGGTCAGTGTCGGACCCAATATCTCTTCCAAAAATTAAATTTAAAAAAATTATAAAAAATCTTAAATAAGAGAATATCCAACTAATACAAGTTACAACAAAAGTCTTTTTAATCCACATAAAATAACTCATTATTCTTAACAAAATAATACTAGTTCTCCAAATTTCGCGCTCGAAATTTCGTGACCAAACTCTTTAGAATAAAATTGTGTGTTAGAATATGATGGTGGATAAGAGGTAATATAATTTTCCCCTCACCACCTGGTTCAGCCCTGAGTGTTTTACTTTGAGAATTTTTTATAGGGTGTAAAGTATTTTTGAGGGAAAATCCCTCTACACTATGTTTACCCAGTCGGATTTACTTTGTTATCTGTATACTAAAAGATTAAACACTATACGAGTCGTGCCTCGACTTTCTTCCGACGTTGAACACACCCTAATATGTCAAGGGACGATATGCCAATGAGGAACTCGAAATTGAGCAGCAAACCAATCAAGTGATCGATCCTCCAAGGAAAAATAGATACAAACCTCGTCAAAGCTACAAGCACAGATGTTGGAAAGCTTTCTCAGGGTTTTCCCCTTCGATTTGAGAATGGTGAGGGAAATCCAATGGCATTTCTGCAGGAGATAGCCATGCTTCACTGAAAACTTTTACTACTTCCTCGAACACCACTGCATTTCCTTCCGGTGTCAAGTGTAGACCGTCGCTGCAGAATGAAACTCAGGTTGGTTAGTATTCCTCAAGCAAATAAAACATCATGATTCAATTTGCAAACCAAAATGGTGGGTTATAGGGTAACTGCGTAACAGTAATAGTACCTTAGATAATTTTGCTGCCAGCCATCAGTTTCCTGCATCTTGGACCATAAATTAATGGAGCGCACACCCAGTTCCTTGGCCAAATCCACACAGTGCTGAGCATAAACTCCAGCCATGTCATTTGTCCTCTCGGGGTGTTCCATAGCTTTCTCACCATATACCGACCTGGACATGTGAGAATAAATGTCATTTAGAACACATTATTAAAAAAAAATCATTTAGAACAGATTACAGCAGCACCACTGTTAACCTAGAAATAAGAGAGGACCTACAAATCTGCATCTTAAATGTATTAGGATTAATAGGCAGAGTCATTCATGGGTTATTCCATGCAAAAAAGGAAACAAACACTTGTTGGGACATTTGAGGAGACAAGTAAGGACACAGTCTTCAGCACCTAATATTAAAGGAGACATGATCCTTAACAGATAAACTACAAGCAGTTATCTACAAGAATGAACAGGAAACTCAGAGATCATGAACTGGAATGGGAAGATGAGAGGATTGTCTTGCGCATCAAGACATATCAAGTGCATGCCTTTCAGGAGCAAAAGGAGACAACTTTATCCATAACTTAGTCTCTATTTAACTTGGTTTCAGTACCCTAAGTGTCCAATGTCTCTACAGTTCCATGGACATTGGCTTTCAAGTGAAGCTAAGTTGAGAACTTCCGTCAACTGAAAGGGAAAATCATCACAGGAACCTGCCTGTAAACTGAGGAAAAAGGGAAATAACGTACATGGCATATGCTTTACGCCCCGGCTCATCTACTGGTGGTGGAGTAATAAGCACAACCAGAATGGCAGGTGAAGATTCCTGCACAAAAAAATTCTCATCTGTTGGAAATGGAAACAGAAATAAACTGTCGCTGCATTCACCGATAGCAGTATGTAATGGAACTTCAGTGTTTAATTGATTCATTAGTACACACTGCATGGCCAACATACATGCATAGAGAGTGCCATCAAAGTACCATATTAGGGTTGATTTGTGCCATCCAACATCAGAGAAGAAAAACCATGCAAATGTGTAAATGTTCAACTGCTGTATTGGATGTCTAATGAATACAAGAACCAAGCACTTAAGTTTGAAGGATAACAGTTCGAGTCAACTGTAATTGCAATGGTGAAGAAAATCCCTCCTAGTTTTCCCATGCAGATGGGGGAAATTCTAGGACTAAAAGGTTGTTAGCGCAAGAATAAGATAAGTGAAAATTTTGTTTGAGAACTCTTGGAAGCTATCCTTATCCTAGGAGATCACATAGTTTCTCCCTGCTCATAGTGATTCATCCCATCCACGTTAAATAAACTATGGTTGACAATGTCAATGCAAAACAAACGAGCAAGTTCTGTATCGCAGAGATTAAGTTGCTGAAGCCAAAAGCAATGTTGACACAAGATGCGAGACAATGCAGTTTCAGATCTGTTACAGTAATCAGATGAGCGGAGTTGTACCTTAAACAAGAAAACATAAGGCACATAGCTCGCAAGTAGCAACATTGCATTATCCCTAGTTAATTTGGCTTGATAACAGAACAAAGGAACTGGTTTTGGCTAGTAACTTGTGAACTTTATCGTAGGCTATAGTATATACCCAATAGCTAATCTTGCTTTGAACTGCAATTCAAATTCCCAAAGATCTACAACTTTTGGAACTGAAAGCATCAAACTTTAAAGTAAGAAAGAAACTCAACCTTCAAATGCTTGACAATCTTCCTGAGGTTCTCCTTATATTCATCCACCGGAACATGTTGTCTTTCGCTAGTTCTGCCCAAAAGAGCCGCATCATTAGCCCCAAAGAAGACTGTGGCGGCAATGGGAGCCTTTCTTCCATCCTGCCCCATCCCAAAGAGAACAACGAAAATGCCAATCAGAGACAGAAACCCACCAAGGATTCGTAATACCCAATCACGCATTAAAAGAAAGATTTGTGAGAAATTACGAGAGGGAAGATGTGATGCAGCAAGAACAAGGCCCATCTGGTGTTGTACCCGCCATAGCCACGGTTGAAGACATCGGCCTGTAAGTGTTCGATGAAGAGAGTCAGTCATTCAGCGGGCATAAACGGTAAACTGAACACAAGGAATAGGAAGAACTCGAAAGGGGTTTACCTTGCGAGAGTAAGTGTCGGCGAGGGAGGCACCCCAGCCGCCTGATCTGAAAGACTGCTCGGTAATTGAATCCCCAAACAGGACGATCTGTGGTCTCATTGTGTGCTGTTCTCAGACTGCTCTGTAAATGGCTGCCTGGTTTCTCTCTCAAATTGATCCACCGGTTAATTTTAGGAGTTGGTACAATTGTGACACACTAGACACTATCTACTTATAAATTTTGTTGGGTTAGGTTAGCTCGCGTTGGTATGGTTAATGTCTAGGTTAACCAAAAAAAAAAAACAATTTTCCAATTATAAATGATTTAACTAAAATTTATAATAAATTATTTACAAATTAGAGAGATTCTATTAATTTAGACATTTTTTATTTTGTTTATAGTTAAATCGTCCGTATTTGTACTTTAAAAATATTCAAGTTTGGAGTGTCCCCGATGAACAGTATTCTTTTTTGAAAACTTATGCTTTAATATATCTAAAAATGTCATTGTTCGGCTATTTTCAACTTGAAAATTTCACGGGTCATCCAAATGGGTCAAGTTTCACTCGTTTTGAACGCATGAGTTTTCTAAAGTTAAGAAAATGGATTTTCATCGTACCATTACCATATTCAAAATTCAATAAGGTCGAGGGACCGGTTACTATAACAACATATATTTTGTTGTTATTGTAACAACATTAGTCTCCAACCAATAGGAAGGTAGGGTTGTGATGACTTTTTATTAGATGAGTTGACCTAGTGTAAAATCAAAGCAGGGGTATAATTGTCATTATGAAAAATATGTTTAAATAATAATAAAAAATAAAAAATAAAAAAAAATATTTTTTTATTTCCTGCCCAAAATTTCGGTCGCCGGAATTCTGCCACCGGTCGCCGGAAAATGGTCGCCGGTCACCGGAATATGCTTTTTGTCGCCGGAATATGCTATGTTGTGGCCGGAATATGCTTACCGGTGTCGGAATATGCTTACCGGCGTCAGAATCTAGTCATCGGGACCGGAATATGCCTATCGGCGTCGGAATATGCTCACTGACGGTCACCGGAGTTCGGTCAACGAAGTTTGTTGACCGGTCAACGATCTTCGTTGACCGGTCAACGGTCAACGATCACCGGATATAATGGTCTGCATTGTGAGATTTATGGTTTGGTTTCTCATATTTTTTTATGCCTTTTATGGTTTGCTTTATCGTGTTTGTGGTTTGCATTGAGAAGTTTCTGGTTTGCTTTCAAAAATTTTGTGGTTTGCATTGAGGGTTTTCTGGTTTGTTTTAGTATATTTGTGGTCTGCATTAGGACGTTTCTGGTTTGCTTTTTTGTAGTTTGATTTACTGTGTTTGTGGTTTGCATTATGAGGTTTCTGGTGTGCTTCGCAAATGTTGTGGTTTGCTTTGTGATGTTTGTGGTTCGTTTTAGGAGATTTGTGGTGTTCATTCGGAGGTTTCTGGTTTGCATTAAGAAGTTTCTGGTGTGCTTTCGAAACTTTTGTGGTTTGCTTTGCGAGGTTTCTGGTTTGTTTTAATATATTTGTGGTCTGTATTATGACGTTTTTGGTTTGCTTTCTTGTGGTTTGCTTTACTGTGTTTGTGGTTTGCATTAGGGGGTATCTGGTGTGCTTTTCAAAATGTTTATAATTTGCTTTGTGTTTTTAAATTTTTTGTTCCAAAGCACTTCAACGAAACTAAAATGAAATATAGTTAAAATATGTTCAATTTATTAATTCATATGACTACTTATAAAGTTGTAGATTAGAAATTATATAGCTAAGCATTTCATCATAAAACAAAGCATATACATTGACAAAGCAACTAATGCTTAATTGGAATGGCCGCCATTATAAAAAAAAAGTGTGGCTGCTTACTTCCAGCTGGGTTTTCGAATCAAGCTCTTGTTAGCGCTGAGTTGGACGCTGCCAAACCCAACAAAAGCAAATATACCATAGAAGTTAGAACGAGGGACGACGGCGACGGAATACGAATATTAAATGAATCGGCGGCGGCGGGTTTGGGCGAAGAGGACGGAAGAAACTTGTTTGAACTTTACCAATTCGGAACAGAGGATATTGAGAGACAAGTTTTATTTATATATATTAGGGTTTCTCGCTGCATCCCACTACCACCAGAAAGAATGGAGAATCACAGGCTTGAGCGGAAGCACTGCCTCCTGAAGCCGTTCTTGTCGGTGATTCCGTTCTGCCTATTCTTGCTGATGGATATCTACAGGAAGTACGAGACCCGACCGAGTTGCGACGGCGAATCCTGCAGCCCGAGCGAGCAGCTCCGCCACCAGAAATCAATCATGAAGAGCCAGAGGAACGCCCAGTTGATCGCCGCCGCGCTGATCTTCTATTGGCTGCTTTATTCTGTCACCAATCTCGTCGTCAAGATAGAGCAGCTGAATCAGCGCGTTGAGAAACTCGAGAATGGAATGTGGTCGGCGTCGGCGGTGGGAATTGTAATATTTTAATTTAATTATATTTTAGTAAGTTTACCCTTATACCCTTAATGAATCATGTTGTTAGTATAACAACACTTAAGGTGTTGTTATACTATCCGGGCCCTAAGGTCGATTAGTATTTAGGGGGAGAAAAGGTAACGAAGGGTTATATTTTGGCTCAAGATATGGGAAGGGCACGGTCCACTGCCTAGAATGTGTTTGCGACATGGTCCATGAAATACTAGTATCAAAGGCCAAATCGGTAGGCGATATTTAACGGTCTAATGATTGAACTACAGTTAAACCACGATTTTACCATAAAATATTCTGTCGCTGACTTTCTCGATATGGTTTCATGGACCATGGTTTGCAATATGTTGGTTCTTATAAAATCTTATACACAAAGTCACCCAAAGTTCTCATTTCACGATACAAAGCAAGAATATGTGGGGAAGTTTGTAAACCACCATGGGAATGCGTTGACAAAGAAATAACATAAGATAATTAATTAATTATTAAATTTCTAGAAGAATGAACGAAATCAAGAGACAAACGTTAATTACTTGACCTTCATTAATCACAACATATAGTTAAAGAGCTCATAACATATTGACTGATACGAAACATGCCTCTTAATTGCCTTTTAATTTAACCTTTGTCATTATGGTTTTATTCATCAAACAATTTTTGTTTTAAATCTTTAACCCTTTTGAAATAAATGTAAAAATTAAAAAAAAAAACACACAAACAAATGTATGTCGGTTTCCATTCTTGTGCAATTAATACTCATTTAAACCTTCTGGAATTCTTTTTAATTCTCTTAAAAAATTAATCCCCTACAACAAATAATACACAGATAACAACCAATTAGATAATAAGGTTTTTATTTCGATTATTGGATTTGCTAGAAATACAACAGTAGCCAACAAACAACTGCCACGTGGAGGTTCAAGACATGTAGTATGATACCTGAGAAGGACATGATTATGCCCCCTAACAGTATGAAGAAGGCAACTAATCTTTGACCCCTCATTGACCATTGAATTCTGCAAATTAACCCATTTAAAAGTGAGTAATTACTGTTCAATTTTTTTAATTTTTTTTTTACAAAAACCACCCTCCTCCATTCGTAAAAAAAAACCACCCTCCTCCCTAATACCTCACTAGAACACACTCACAAGTGCTAAAGAACCTCAACCATTCGATCACTAAACGATTAACGATCAAGATTAATTAGTATAATAAATGCAGTTTCTTCCCCCGAACTTCACCAAAAAACCTCTCTATTAAGATGAGCACAAAGGAAGATAAGCATAAGCTTCCATAAAATCATTAATACCATTCCTTAACAGTCATTTCCCGATTTCATTAGCCAAAAATCCTCGTGTTTAATTCTTCCTTTCAACAATGGATTATGAAAATGACAACTTGAGGGACGAAAAAGATTTTGTCTCCCCTTCCTCCCAACAACCACCACCACCACCAATGTTCTTGTCGGAAAAATACATCACCACCGCCACCATGCAACCCCACCACCACCAAGTTGATGAATTTCCCTATGATCCACCGCCAATATTCCTCCCGCCGCCGCCGCCGCCGTCATCAAATGGGTTTCTCCAAGAATTCCACAACCTCGACGAAGAGGAAGATAATTTCCACAATGGGTCGTCGTTAAATCATCCTCAGGTGTTTGGAGTCCACACTAGTTCCAATTTCGACTCTTCTTCTTCTTCTAGTTTCGGTGCTTTCCCTTACGGTTCTTCTTCATCAAACATGGATTTTCATGAGTACGAGTGTAAACCCTTTGCTAATAACCATGGCGACGGTAATTTCCATTACTCTGGTGGTGTTGGTGGTCATAATTACTCGAGCACCATCCCTCACCGGAATTATAACTATAATCATCACCACGAGATGGTTGAGATTATGGGATACAATAGTAATACCAACAATAATCAGATGGTGAATATGGTCGGCTTACAAGAGATTAAGCCATTTTCTGTAGCCGCCGATGAAGTGTTGTCTTGTGTTAATCCGAGTAACGGTGGAAATTATCATCACAACGTCCAATTAGCAGACTATTGCTACAAGAATAAAATGAGTAGTAGCAAGAATAGAGGTAGCAACAGAGCTCTAGGATTGCCTCCTACTACAAAGAAGACATGGAAAGGCCAACGCAAGAAGAACAACGTTGTCAAGGGTCAATGGACCGTCGATGAAGACAGGTAACAACTAACGTTAACACACACACACACACACACAAAAAAAAAAAAAAAAATCCAACATCATATTCGATCTTTTTTATTGGGTAATTGTGTTTATTGTCAATTGGTTTTGTTATGTGGGTACTCAGGCTGTTGGTTCAGCTAGTGGAACAGTATGGGATCAGGAAATGGTCTCACATTGCTCAAATGCTGCCTGGGAGAATCGGGAAACAGTGTCGAGAGAGATGGCACAATCATCTCCGCCCCGATATTAAGGTACTTAAAAATCACGAAAAATCGTCGTATTAAGTTTCATACATGAATATCTTCCAACAACTCGAGTTATACGTTGTTGGGATTGGTTGGTATCGGAGCTACTTTGTCACTGAAGTCTCTTGTTAAAGTCCTCACGACCCCTAATATTAATCGTCGCCTTAAAGCAAATGATATGCAAGGCCTCTCTGCAAACTTTAAACCATTGAATTGGCTTCGGTTTGAGGAATATATTTTTTTTTTGTATTTGATTTTTTCAGAAAGATACGTGGACAGAAGAAGAGGACAGAGTTCTGATACAGTCGCACACAGAGATAGGCAACAAATGGGCGGAGATCGCAAAGCGGCTCCCGGGGAGAACAGAGAACTCGATCAAAAACCACTGGAATGCGACAAAGAGAAGGCAGTACTCCAAGCGCAAATGTCGCTCCAAGTACCCACGTGGCTCGATTTTACAGGACTACATCAAGAGCTTGAACTTGGATGACGTCAATAACCGTCACGGCAGGAGATCGTCAGCGTCCTCGTCGAAGAACAACAACAACAACAACAACAGTAGTTCGTCAGCAAAGGCGACAATAGATCAGCAGCAGCAGAACAACTTGGATGATTTTTGTGAAAATGACAGATTGGTACCCAATTTCGACTTCGGTAACGAAGAGGTCCCTGATTTTGGATTCGATGACAAGATTTTTCAAGACGGGTGCGACATCGATTCGTTGCTCGACGGGCTGCCCCCTTGTGCGCCGTTGTCGGTGGACGGGAAGAGCTTCGACGACGAGCCGGAAGTGGCGACGGAGGAGGATGGGGCTCCGGCGGCGTTGTTGGACTATGAGGTGAAGAAGGAGCTGGACTTGGTGGAGATGATGCTCGTGTCACAAAAGAAAGGATTTTAAGAAAACATCGCGACCAAATCGTAATAATATGCTCGAAAGGGAGATTATTGTTTAAAAATATTGCCTAGTATATGCTGGTGATATTAGATTTTTGGGTATGGAAGAATATTAGTTATCTACTAGCTAGCTAGTAGTACTCCAACTTATTTTTGCCAATTCTTTTGGCAATTTTTGCTTTCTTTTTTTGGATGGAATTAGATATACATGTGCATATAGATACATGAATTTGTGGACATCATTTTGTTGTAGAGAATGAGAATTTGCTCATTGAAAATGTGGAATAAATGGGTCTTTGATTATATACTATGTATACCTTTTATTTATTTATAAATGTGAGTGTATCAAAATCACTTCCTAATTCTTTTCTTGGTGATTGTGGATTCCAAATCTCTCTAAAGATTTTTGCCTATTTTATGTTGGTAATGATCTCAAGGAAGCTACTCATCACTGCATTTTTATCACATTTTTCATCTTTTAACTTAATCACCTTCAACCCATTTGTTAGTTTCTCAAAAAGACTTCTTAGGAACTCAATATGGGACCAAAGGATAATCTTCTATTAAAGCGATTTCTTGTCTCTCAAGTAATATGTATTTCAATCAACTGTACCATTTCTATATAAAATTATGGTGAAATATGTGTTTTTAATAAGGATTTTAGAATATTAGGCAGCTTAGCTGTCTAAGAGGCTCAAAATATCCCATCCAGAAATATGTCTGTTAGATAGTCTTTTATTTTTTTTCACTAATCCATGTTTTGATTTTGATCATTTTATAGCATATTGTAGAGATCAATCCTTCGTAAACAAGTATTATCATATCGACCTAAACAAAATCTTATATGTTTCTGCCCATCCTGCAAGAGTCATACCCATCTCATGAGTAGCTTGGAGAGAGACAGTACAATTTATGCTAAAATTCACTAATATATGTGCTACATCAAACTTTTATATTAACTAATATAGTTACAGTATTTCAGTGCTTTCACATAATTTGTGCCCATTACTAATGTGATTCATTTCCTTTCTTAATTCAAAATTCTCATCCTTCTTTTTCATACAAAAATCAATATGTTACTACATGTGTTCAAAGCATATCTAAAAAAAAATCAACTTGCCCCGATTCATGCGAATATTATCCAAACTTATGTCAATGTGAAACAACCTATCTCAACCCATATTCCATATGAATATTATCCAATCTTATTCTAAACTATTGCATGGGTATTGACTATTGAGTTACTAATCTCGCCACACCCTCTTCCCGTTTCCAGTTGTAAGTAAGTTTGGTAATAGAAAGTTGTCAGGTTGAGATAATTAGGGTTTGTTTTTATTTACCGTTTTCATTGTAGATAAAAAAAAAACATGTTTTATTGAATCAGATTTAACCGGAATCTAATTAAATTCGAGCAAACTGCAATTAAATTGGGAGTTCTTAAGGTACTTGTTGCATTCAATTAGTGGAAAACTGAAGCTGATGAGGTGTATGTTACGAGTTTGGAGTCAGTACATCCGGTCTCCTGAAGTAAAGGCAGTCGGTAAATTACCGTAAAGGAAGAATTAATTGGTTTGCAAGTAATTAATCGCACATTATCAATTTTGTGTCTGAAACTTCACATGCGTCTTGCAATTTTGATTACGGTTTTGATTATATTTGTTCAGTTGGAGCAAGGTGATCATTTGTGTTAGAAGTCATTTTAGCAATATGATTACATGCATGTCACCGTAATTTGTACTTTTCGGTCGACCGAATTCTAACAGAGATCAACTAAATACACTAATGTAGGCACCCTGATGACTTATCACAGTCGACCTTTAAAATGTAGTGGTCGACCGTTTGTAGTTTAAGTTGTCATTGTTGGTCGACCACAATAAAACATTGGTCACCCTTTTCATTGGCGTCAGGAGCAAAATAGTCGACCGTAAAGGTATATAGGTCGACCACTTGATGGCGGTCATTAACAAAATGGTCGACCATTTACAGAATGAGGTCGACCAGATAGAAGAGAAGTGTTGTATCCATTTATCCATCACCATTTGACGTAAAATGAAGATCAAGAGTGTTGGTTTCGTGGTCGACCGAATACAGGAAAATCAACTTATGCCCTACGTCTTTTTTGCTTATGTATATCGATGTGGGTGGTTCTTTTGCTCGTACAAATTACGTTTTAAACCAACAGAATCAGCCATAAATAATGATAGCAATGACTCATAACTTCATAACATAAAAACTAAACAAACTAACAAGAAATACAATAAAACACAAATCATAATTGTTCACACATAACTAAAATCTAAAACCACATAATATCAATTCACAATCCTTTTTAATACTTAACAACAAAAACTGAAACGACATATTAGGTCGACCTAATCCTATATAAAGTCAACATAAAAGTCCTAACTAGTTGGCCAATCGAAAGTGATCTCATGCATGTCAGACATTTTAAAGTTAAGATTTCTCAAAAGAAAATTATTTTTAATAAATATTAAATTTAATAAAACAAGCATATAGGGTACTAAACCATTATAAGATACGGGCACGAATCATGTACCCGTAGTTATCAAAGTGATGCAGCTTCAAGAACGAACAGACAAATAGATTTTTAGGGTTTTTGTTTGTTAGGGATAGTTTGGAAATGAAAGTGCAAGCTCACACGAAATCAGGAGAAGACATTTATAAATATAATAGGTAGAATCTCGATCACAATCAAGAGAAAAACTTGATTGATACAGAGATAAGTTCAAGGCTAAAGCTCAAAACCAAGATAAAGATCAATATTCTCCCAAAAACTACTTCTAAACTCGAGTTTGACCCCTTTATATAGGCCAGGATAAAATAAACTAAAAAAACACAAAAAATAGCGTTCCAATCTGCCTAAGGCCAATCCCTGGTCACCTCCTCCAATTTCCCTGATCGGGGAATCCCTCTCCTAGTCGGACCTTCGTTTGACGGTATTCCCCGATTGGCCCCTGTCAATCCCCGGTCAGGGATTAACCTGCTCTGGTCGGGGATCTCTTCCACTCGCTACTACTGATGCATCACCGCTCTCGCATCAGTCCCTCCCTATTTGATAAGTTTTGCCCTTGAAACTTGGGTTTTCCTGCAAGGAACAACATCAACAGAATTTCTACATGGACTTCTCCTCAATGCAGTCAACATGTTATTTCGAGCCATCAGATGCTCTTCACTTCCATCCTCCGACTTCGAGCCACTGGTTTTTCTTTTCTCCTTGTTCCAGTTCAGCTCCATTTGTCTGTGATCTTCGCAGACTACAGCTGGCGACAATGGATTCAGCAGAAACTTCTGATCTCCCTTCTTGAACCAATAGCTATTGTGTCTTCCATCGTGAATAACTTCTCGATCATATTGCCATGGACGACCCAATAGGAGATGAGCAGTCTGCATTGGAGCAACATCACACCAAATTTCATCTGCATAATCACCGATCTGGAAACAAACTTTGGCATTCTTGTTGATTTTGATATTCCCATAGTTGTTTAACCAATGCAGGGTGTATGGTTGAGGATGCTTGATGATGCTCAATCCCAACTTCTTGACTGCATCCAGACTAATCACACTGATGCAACTACCACCATCAATGACCACGAATAACACTTTTTGTCGACCAAGCAGCGAGTGTAAAAAAAATTATCCCTCTGTTATGTCTCTGTGTAAGTTTCATAGATAAAGCTCTGCGGTTCACTCAAAGAAGTTTACCGGCCGGAGGTTTCTCAGCCTTGATCATGTGCTCATCCACATCATCATCTTCAGAAACAGCATCAGAACCGAATCCATTCCCCATGGGTTTCTCTTCATACTCCTCAAAAATTACTCTCCATCTCGTAAGACCATAGCCTTCCTGTTGGGGAATTGGTTGGCCTTGTGACCTCATCCCAAATAGGGGTGGGCAATCGGTTCGGTAAATCAGAAACGAACCGAAACCGAATTAATGTTATTCGGTTCATAATTCGGAAGGAAAATATAGATAGTTCAGAAAGCAGGGTTCTTTCAACCATTCCGAATTTCCGACCGAAAAACCGAAATACTATAATTGCAAGCTCCAAATGGTGGATTTTTATGTTTGTAGTTGTTTTTAGGCTTAAATATTTGAAATGTTTTATGAATTATGTGTGAAAAGTTTGATTTTATCATTGATGATGCATATAATTGCATATTTATTGTTTATATTAGGGGTAAAAAATAATTTAAAAGCGAGGAGATACAAGTAGCTTAACAAATTCGGTTTTGTGTGAAAAACCGAACCGAATTATAATTCGGTTCAAATTCGGTTTGAGGTTTGGGAGAATTCGGGGACCGGTATTCATAATTTTGGTTCGGTTTCGACCGAATGCCCACCCCTAGTCCCAAGAACTTGAAGAATTGGATGCTTCTAGTTGATCCTTCATTCCTGGCATGGATGATTGGGGTCGTGTTCCTAGGGGTGGGCAACGGGACGGGACGGGATACCCGTCCCGTTTTAAACGGGTACCCAGTCCCATTTGGAGACCAAAGTCCATCCCATATCCCAAACCCATATGGGAAACGGGTACCCATTACCCGTACAGGACGGATAACGGGTACCCATACTACCCATAAATACCCAAAGTTTAAACCACTAAAATTTTAACAAAAGTTTAAACTTAACTTGTATTTGCTTAACAATCACAAGACACAAAATACTTGGTTTGCAAATTACACATTCATGAACAATCACAACACATAGAAATAAATCATTCCAAGTACCAAATTATCAAAAAAAAAAAAAAAAGTTTCATTCAACACATCCCAACCCTCTCTACTAATTCACCAAACATGTAAGTGAAAAGAGTGAAAGGGTAAGGGCCCAAATGGAATTGAAATTGAAATTGAAAGGGTAAGGGCCGAAATGACCAATGGGTTTTGAATTGGGTTGGGGTGAATTAAATTTCTGCATTTGTATTGAATGGGTATAACGGGTACCCATATTACCCAAACGGGTATTCGCGGGTAACCCGCGGGTACCCATATTAGGAATGTACAATCCCAAGTCCCATCCGTTTATAATATTACGGGTAATATGGGTACCCGTAACCCTTAAAAAACGGGACGGGTACGGGTATACCCAAATACCCGTTTCCCGTTGCCCACCCCTACGTGTTCCTAATAGCTGGCTTATCACATTCTTGCTTAGAGTGATTCATGTAATCCTCAGGAATGTTCTCTGCAACAGGTTTGAGCGGAGGTGGGTACCTTCTTCCCAAACTTAGCTTTAGCTGCCTCTCTACCTTCATGGCAAAATACATCACTTCCTCCAACTCCACAAACTAACGAAGCTCTAGTTCATCCTTGATTTCTCTGTTGAGTCCATGTAAAAAGCGAGCAATTTTGACAATAAGACAGTACAATAGCAGTGTAGTTGCAGTAAAGAGTAGTAGGAGTTTGCTTGCTGTGTTAGAAGTAGTGAGAGGTAGTGCAGATCTTGTTAGCTGCAGAGTGTGAGATCAAAATGTGTAAACACACATAGAGCTTAATAAATTTTTTTGATATTGCCCATAAAAAAAAGCGAGCAATTGTTGCTTCCTTGTCCTCCCTCACATTTGCTCTCATTAAGAGCAGTTCCAGCTCTTTGAAGTACTCATCAACAGAGCGTGCACCTTGCCGAATTCCCTGCAAAGAATCATGAAGATCTCCCAGATAGAAAGGCGGCACAAACCGATCACGCATCAAGACTCAGAATTCTTTCCAAGTAGAAACTTCATGTTGTATATTCCTTTTTTGTCAAAGCTAAAATGTTCCCATCAAGTTGCTGCATAATTTGTAAACTCATAGGTGGCTACAAGCACCTTCTAATGCTCTGATAAGGATTGTATTAAAAAAATAAAATCATCTTTCTCTCCCAATCGAAGTAAACCGATGCACTACTAATTTTTTGAAATGACGGAATTGAGAGTTTAATCTCTCGAACTGATCAACACATTTACCTTGCAAATAACACCCAACATTGAACTTGCCAAAGAAATTTGCCGTCGGGAAGTTCCCTCCTAATAAAATTGCTCTAACCAGGTCGTATACAATTATTCTCAGTCAACCCTAACCCAGCTAAAAGCCACCCCCACAAAACAACATCCCCGTCCTAAACAATGGGGATCAAACGCAACAAGAAAACACACACAACCTAACCCTGAAGTTCCTGGCTTGGTCTACAACAATTTTGTTCCTTCGAATGCAAGAAAACATATAAAAAATGCTATCAACGGAAGACAGAAACCCCAATTTCAAATCATCGGGGAAAAAACCCCCCAATTTCAGAGAAACCAAAATTTATCGACAAAACACTTTTCAAGCTTCCTTTGGCTTTGGCTTAATGCGCTTCACTCTCGAGTATAGGAACACTCCAGCTAGTGCTATCCCAGTGCCTGCAAATCACAATTTTCACAGCACAAACATCCTTTGTCAATGCTGGGAAATGGGCGAGTTGGTGAAGTCTTCAAATTGAAAAGGTGTGTTTGTTACCTATAGAATTGACTGGTGAAACAGGTGTCTGGAAGAAGATCACGGAGCTCACAATGACCACCACACGCTTCACACAGTTGCCAACTGAGTGGGTAACAGGTGATACCCTCTGCAATATCATGTACGAAACCTGCAGACATAATTGAATGAAGGGTGAGTTAAGCAAAAAGGTCGGAAGAAGATCAACATAACAGGCGTAGTCATAACGGCTATAGCAAAAGTAGCAATACTCTGGAAATAAAGTGCAGCTCTCACCTGCTGATATGCATGGAAACATAGAGCAGCAATTAGCGACCTAGTGCACACTTGTTTAACATTCAATCCCTGTTATGCAACGAAAGAACAATTTACGTATTAATGAAACGAGCACATTTGTGTCTATGTTGCAGAAATCTAAAGCTTTCTATAGGGAACATACAGCAGACTGGAGGTATGCTGGAGTGAACTTGACGCCTTCCATAAAGAGAGCCACAGGAGCAAGCAAGATAAATGACATAATTGTTATGATTGAGAAGAGGGTGATGTTGTCCATAGATTCCTGTTAACAAGTAACATTAGAATGCGTCAATGCACATCCCAAAGACAAACAATAAGAGATTTCTTCACTGGAAATATAGGCAGTAAATGAGGGGAGAAGTACCTCTTTCTTCACCATGACTTTTTTGCTCAGGACATTTCGAGATTGATTGGTCACATTGGAAGCCATTGCAGTCCAAAAACCAGCCCTATATTGAACAATACAGTAGAGAAAAATCATATTCTATGACGAAAACCAGCTCTTCCATAGGGAAACAAAGCTGCAGCCACAAACAGCTGTAGAGAAAATGTTTCTAGGAAGCAGGGACACCAAAAATGAAACATCTCCGCGGTACTTACCAATTGAACGAGGCTTCAGTCATAGATGCCAGTGCCACTCCACCAACAATTGGTAAAAGAGAAGAAACCACCCAAAGACTAGGAAACTGTACAAGTACAAGCAGAGTGTCACAAATTGATTTTACCATCGAATTGGAGGGGAAAACAACACCTACTACTCAGTTCTTATGTTTCAACACATTCCTTTCATTAGACATAAATTCACATAAGCCTCACCTCACCAAGGAACATTGCAGAGAGAAGAACCGAGAAGAATGGCTCCATAGCTTTGATAGTGTGAGTGAACGAAACAGCCACTTTCCCAAGACTCATGTTCGTGAAGAGATTACCGAGAGTGTGGACAACCGCAAGAGGCAGGATTGCAGCAAGCTGTCCAAAGTAAAAGCTATCCCATTAAAACCTCTCAAGCTCAAAGCCATCCAGTGCGCCATATATCAGCACCAAAAGAAAGCATCTCAATTTTAAACAGTACCTGAGCGCCACTAATTTTGGGCCTCTTATAGAGGTTGAAAGTCCACATGAAAGTAACGAGAGCAGTTCCCATAGCAAACTGGATGGCGGTAATCGTTACGGGGTAAGGGAAGACTTTCAAGACCTGCACAATGCATAGAATCACAAATCAGAAACCAGTCCACTGCCGGAGTTTCCACAAGTGAATGCACATCTAAGTTGGGAAAGAAAGGATTCGTCGTATGACTATAAACAATATGAAATCCTTTGTCTAGCACCACTGCATACGAATTGGCTTGCTAAGGGATTCTCCATAAACAAATTCCCCACATTACAAAATCATCATTCACCAACCACCATTTTCGTCAGGAATGATCTAAACATTGCGCGCAAATTTCAAATCTCACATTCACAACAATCATTCTCAAGCAGTACTGAGAAAAGAAACTAGTAGTCTGAACTCTGAACAAGATTCAAAGCCAAGGGAAAAGAAAAACGAATCCAACCAAAAACCCACCTGCTTGTTATAGATGTTGAAGTAGATATTGAAGAGATACCAGAGACCAAACAAGGATCCGAGCACCAGAGTCTTAGTGAAGCTACTGGACTTGTCTTCCTCGCCAGCGGTCTCGGCAGTGGCCTTCACTTCAAATCGCTCCGCCCTCTTCTCAGAAGAAACAAGCGGAGGCAGGGGATTCCATGGCCGGAGCTGGAGCTTGGAGGAAGGGGAGCCGAGGGACCAGGAGCGGCGGGGGAAAACGACATTGCTGGAAGCGCCGAGATCGTCCCGGCTAGTAGCTCGAATAGGGTCGAAGCGGAAGCCCAACCTAGGGTTGTTGGACCGGAGCGGACGGAGGAAGGAAGGGGAGGTAGTGAAGGCGGCGCTCTGCATTTCCCCGGCGATTGAAGGAAACGAAGAGCGAAAGGAAAAGATGGGAAGGAGGAAGAAGCAGAGGAGTGAAGAAAGGCGGTAGGTGGGAAAAAAGGGAGGAGTAGAGATCTTTGAAGAAAGGCGTTGAGAAGTCCGTCCAAAGTTTGGTGTAACGTCCGCCGTGGCCACTGAATTTTTGCTCTTATTTTTTGTTTTGTTTTGCCTTTTGGCCTAAGGGTCTGTTTGGTACTTTGGTTAGGAATCCCAAGCGAAGGGCGGATCGGATATTCTGAATCTGGAGGAACTTCTTAATATGGCATTTTGTCGTTTTGGCCCCTCTCTCGTTCGTTTTCCGGCAGCCGCTCTCCTCCCCCCCCAAAATCGAAAACGAACCTCAACCCTAGAATCTCGATCGAACGATCCCATCCCCAATCTTCAGTCTTTCTCTTCATCCCTTCTTCTCCAATCAGTTCCAGTTGGAGCACCAAGTTCTGGCTAGATGGGATTGGGATTTACAGTCGGCGTTATCGGAGTTCTGATTCTGGGCCACGCCGCCTATTCAACGATTCAGTGTAAACCTATGATCCACTGAGAAGCTTTGATCTTCGCAAAGTTGCGATTTTTTCCCGACTTGTCGATTAGTTTTAGGGGGTTTGATTGAATCCTCCCTTTGGGTTTGATGCAGATAGGAGCCTGCTGAAGATTATGGAGGAGGAATTCTCTGGGCCTCCATTGGATGTGAGTTTGCTTCCTTTATGATTGCTTCTCTTCTTCTTGCTAACTATAAAATCGTTAGCTTGATAGGTGCTTTGGGTCTGAATGACGGGTTCGATCGATGTAGGTGGTGCTGGAGTTGCTTGTAGGGCTATTGTGCTGTATGTGGGCAGCTTTAACTGTGCCGGGGAAGTTCCTGTCTGTACATCCCCATTCTGACGAGAACAGGTATGTTTGTTTATATTCTCAGATTTGCTGCTAAGTGGATTTTGTAGACGAGACATTTGTTATGTGGGTTCAGTTAACTATTTTCTTGCTTGCTATGCATTTGATTGCGAAAGGTTTACCATATATTTCTTCAGTTTTTTAGCCTAGGACAGGACTTAATTGTGGTTGAAGCAAGTTTCTTTCTTTCCTAATTAGCTTGCAAGTTTAGGATTAGTCATACGGCCCCTTGTTATGGACTTTCTGAAGAAACTGTATCAGGCACGAAATATACCTGTAAGCTGAGATGAAAAGACCAAATTGGTTTTTGAGTGTACTAGCTGGTGATATGTTGTGGGACTTTGAGGGTTAGAGGAGCTCTAATGAGAATGTATTCAAGGGTTAATCAGATCCAGCAACAAGTTTTGTCAGTGTTAGGGCTCCCAGCAGGACCTTTAGCTGGCATAAAAAAGAGCAGCTTCAAATGGTTGTTCTTAGTTTTGGAAGCTAGATTAACAATGGTAAACTCAATGATCTATTAGTAGGCTGCTTTCACTTTTCTAGGTAGCTGCAATTTTATCATCCTTTGTGCTTCATCTATCAGGGCTCTGTTACTGATTGGCAGTGTGTTATAAGTGACTATCAACTATTGTTCTTTGTTTTTCTAGATTTACTATGAAAAGTCATCAATCTGTAGCTTTCCGGTGATGAAATTTTTACAGTTGTAAGTGGCTACAGTTAGGGGTGTGCAACAGGTTGGTCTGTATGGGATCGCACCGGACCAAACCGATGCTTGGATCGAACCACATCGAACCAAATATAATATGGTCCGGTCCTTGGTCCCGTGGATTATATAAACACGGAAGAAAAATGGACCGAGTTGACATTTGGACCGGACCAAAGTGGTCCGAATGCGCTGTTGGTCTGGTCCTTGGTACTAATATGTCTTTCACTATTGGACCGTGGTTCTCCTGCGTTTGCTCTGGTCCGGACCGTCGCACACCCCTACAATTCTAAATGTAATTGTGATTTGTATATCTGCTTAGTCTGTTAGGACTCTGTCATTGATGCTCGTGTATTAGTGCTGGCCATAGCTAATGCACAAAAATATATTATTCATATAGCTTGATTGGTGGTGGACTTACACGCTGTAAAGAGGAATGCATGTTGGTCTCAATTCTATCGTTCTTTACTGCTTAAACAGCAGCATCAGTTGGTTATGAATTGCTTGCAAAACTGAATATGAAATGGGTCTAGACCCTACTTATGTTTAACATCAGAAGCTCGAGGAGATTGTGTTCCCAAATGGAAGGAGGCATTTCCCTGCTTGCTTTGTTCTTGTCAAGATATCGTAGTTTTTTTTAACGAGTGGCTAAGCTACCCAATTTCAGTGTGATGTCCTGTTAGCCTTTATTGCATACTGTGCCCCTGAACAATACTTTCTCGCCTCAGTTTTTTTGCGTGTATGGTTAAATGTCAGGGCTCTTGTTTCCTTTACATTGTTTAGACTTCCCTATTAAACGTCTATGGAGCTCAATGTCGACATCAACCATTTCACTGCTATTTGCAGGGTTGTTTCTTTGCCTGAGAACGTGGATTTCATGATCTTCAACCACAGGGGCAGGGCATTCTCTTCTGAAATCGACTTGAAACTCAAACACTAGCTCTCTTTCTGTGTTAAAGGAACGGATCATAATCTGTTTTCACATCCATCCCGAGGAAAGTGGTATCTCTCCATTGTTGAAACCTCCGCAAGACTTAGAAGCTACTATTTGTGAGTACTCATAAATGCGGCTACAATATGGAGTTGTTTGTTCACGATAGCATCATCCTTTTTGGCTATTCCTCACTACTGAAGGTTTACTTAATTAGTGTTTCTTTGTTTGTCATGTTTTTGGCATTTTGCTACAACACCTTAGGAACTGCCCCTTCAATGGCTGATTACGAGTCTCAGTGTACACGCTCCTAACTTGAATTCTAATCCCCTGCAATATATGCAAAACCCCTGTTTACAGCAAACTACACAGACGCAAGTTGATAAGGAAAAGGTGTTGTGTATTATTACTCAAAATATATAGGGATTATAACTTTATATAGAGTACAATGATGGCCTCTTATAATAATCCTAAGACTAATACGAAAATTATATAAATTCTACAACTCTGATAAAAAAAAAAGTATGGCATGCCTACTTTCCAATAGGTTTGTTCAATTTAAACTTCAAAACGAAATTCAAACATTAGATTACTTATAAGTTATAAATAAATTGACTTTTCACCATTAAACCAAAACTCATAACAGTTAAGGTAAGTACATATATTTCTCAGGCCAATCACAATATTTAAGCACAACTTTTAGTTGAGAAGAACGGCTGGGCATTAAACTAAGCGATATAGTATAATGGATAAAATCTGCTTCCTACTAATGATATAAACGTATACTGATACCATCGTTGTATCCTGACCTGTCATTTGTGATGGGTTACTTTGAAATACAACTTCATTTTAGAGAATAAAAACCCATAAGGACATTACGAAACCAAATTTATTCAAAGAACTTCATATTCCACTTCAAAGGTTCCATTTTAAAAAATAGGAGAGTTTAGCATGCCAAATCACTCATTTGAAAAATCTAAAACCAATTTTAATCAATGCAATATAAAGTCTCGTTCCAAATTTTGTACTTGCTGGAATAATCCCAAATCATTATCATTAGTGCCCCAACTACCTTATGTGCAAAATAGCTTTGGACCTATATTGCGATTTGCGTTGGTCTACTTTCAAATATAGCCACATGACAAACCAAAGCAATTAAGCAAAAATCTTCACATTCCAAGTAGAACGACTCAATTCAGCTTTGATAGCACTTTATACATATCGGTTACCTCTGGACCTATTGCACTTGCTACCTTCAGATCTTTGTGAACACAATACAATTGAGGAGATGAAGTTGCCAATGGAATGGAGTGTGTTAATTAAGTGAATCACCATACAGTTGAACAAACAGAGTCTTCTTGATTAGCCATATGAATAATGGGGGTAGCTGCAATCCATCGATTGCTCCCTCTACGCAATCCAGTTAGAATCTTTGGCCAAGGTTGTAGAGATTAGAGTTCAGTGAGAACTTTGGGCACAGGAGGAGAGTAGGTTGTTGGGGGGTGGAGATGACGCGACGAGTAGAATGGGAATCTTTGGCAGCTGCGATGGGTGCACAATTATTGGGCCAAATCACAGTTTGGGCCCATTGAAATCAAAAACATATTTTTACTTGCGTGCTTAACAGACCAGTCACACTGGCACCTCCTAAATCTACCCCTAAAAATGCTTTGGATGAAGCAAATCTGAAATGAGATCCCTCGTTTCTCAGTTCACCTTTATATTATGTGTAGATTGTGATGAGTGATGAGTGTATATGTAGACAAATCATTGTCCTACAAATTCACTAACACGTCAAAAGTGGTGAAATGAGCCACCCTATTAAACTCAATCTCGTATAATGATCGTTGGATCCAATCATGCAAGATTAGGAGGAGGTTTAAAATATAGCGATTAACCCGACTAAAAAGTTAAAAGAACCGGTTTCATATAGTTTGCACAAAGATATGATTGCTTCATAGTAGTTTTGAAATCTAATACTAATTTAAGAAGTCGACATTTCTTCTACATATTTAATCTTGAAATTCGATATGCAATATTCAAACTAGTGATATTTCGGCTGTAATTTTAGGTTATCATATCTTTGTAAGATAGATAGAGATTAAAATTAATTATTAAACTATAACTAAATAATCAAAATATGAAAATCGAAGTAACAAAACAAGAAATAAGTACTTACGCGAAATTTAGTGGCAAGCTAATCGTTGAAAAGTCATATGATATTCATATTTTAGGTTCGCTTATGTTTTTAATTTAAAAAGATACAACAAATATACTTAGTGTGATCAGTTATGATCCTTGCTTTTCCTTAAACTGACCATGGTTCAAATCTTTGTACGTGTTTCTTTTTATGAATAAATAGAAAATATATAAGTAATTGTGGAGACTAAAATGTCCTTCCTTCTGGTATTATATTACCAGCTTGTTGTCCGACCCGTTGGTCGGAATGTCATTTGAACACAATGTATTTATGATGTGTATTTAATTTTTTTAAATTAATTGAAGTGCTGAATTTCGTATGACATCAAGGTGACATCGAAATTATTTTTCCATTTTCGAAATTCGTATAACTTTTCATCAATGGTAAACACTGTAATCTTAATGGTTATAACCAAAGTTGTCAAATCGGTTTAAGCCGTTAAGTCGGTCAAGCAAGTGGATTGAAGTTTAATGGTTTGATTGAGGTCTAACCTGTTTGAGCCGTTTTACACCTTTTCTAAATATATTTATATATAAGATAGAAATTTAGCGACTGAAATAGAATGTACTAACTTATATCTATTAAAAACTGAAAGTCAAATTTCATTAAAAAACATACATATCTCAAGATTCACCCACCATCCCCTTGCCTCTCTCTTCTTCTCCATCTCTAACAACTAGACATTGATTTTGTAGAGGCAGTTTTAGAGCACGACTTTGGTCGGACCTAGTCCAACCAGTCGCCTGGTAGAGGTGTCACAACTTTGATTATAACACTTGTGAATAACCATTCATAACTTCTCTATTTAATGACGTAGTCACTTAGTTGCCTATGGTTGAAAAGAAAATCGACAAAGCGAAAAAAGAGTTTGTCTGAAAAAGCGTAGCATAAATAGGAAACTAATGATGATAACCTTTTGTCAATATTTATTTCTTTTGCTTGAGAAACAATACATAGATAGCAAGGTCTAAACCCTAAAGTATTTTGCACAATACAATAACAAAATTAGTAAGAAAATAACATTTTCCATCCATACTCTATGCAATAAAAAAAAATTATTTATCAACCAAGATACTCTAAATTTAGTTGAAGGACAATCTTATTCTCAACAAAAAAAAAATAAATAAACATATCTTGTGGTACCTACCTTGCAAATGCACATGACCCCATCAACGCGTCCATGAAAACTCCAGCCCGACTTTCATGATTTTTCTTGTACTACGTTATTTCATATTAAACTAAGTAACTATGATTGATATATTTAGTCAATTACCATATTGAAATCATCTATAACAATTGGTATTCTTAAATTGTATTATTTAAACTCACTCAGTTTTCCAATCAAGTCATACTATCAAGAAATTTAGGATTTAACGATTAACAAAACTAAAACTTTCAAAAACTAGTCACTTGCAGTTTGCATAACAATATCGTTGTTTTAATAATTCTAAAAATTAATACCAATTTAAGAATTCTACATCACATCTACACATTCAATACTGCAATTCAATATGCAATATTCGAATCAATAATATTTGAGTTGCAATTTTAAAATTATTCTCCATTTATAGGAGGACACAAATTAAATTTACTGTTAAACTCAAATTAAAATAATCAAAATATAAAAATGAAAATATCAAATAACAAAGAAAGTTTTTTCGGGAGAGTTAATGGGCTAGCTAACAAGAGTGGAAAAGTCATATAATTTTTAGATTTTAGGTTTTTAGATTTTTTATTTAAAAAGAAACAAAATATTTCTTTAGTGTAACCTGTAATGGTTGTTGTTCTCATTTGGAAAGACCATGGTTCGAATCTCGAGATTGATATTTTTTTTCTTATGAATGAAAAAATAAATAATGATTGTGAAGACACAATTATCTTTCATATTTTCGCTCTCGTTGAAGAAAATTCGAAATGCTGAAAACTGCCCCTAACTCTGCTATAATATATTTGTAGATGGGTAGATGGACTCCGCATCAATGATGCAACCAGATTGTGGGTGCATGCATATCTTCATATTCGTCACTTTGATCAGTTGGTTCATCTTAAAAATGATCTTAACATTTACTTGCATAAAAATGATTGAGAAAATATTTTAAATTACATTCAAATTATTTATTTATGATTCACTTATTATATTTTTAAGTATTTCTAAAATTTAACAAGCTTTATTACCGCAATAATTAATAAAATGTTCAATTTACAACTATGTTCATCAATAGTTTTATTTTTTACGGAGCTATGACTATGTTTTTTGTATGAATTCTATGGACTATGTTTGGTTGGAATAATAATCAATTTTGAAATAAAAAATATGAATCCAATTTGGCAGGAATACCATGGAGTTTAGATAGATTCAACAAATTCTAATTTGACCATATATAGCATTTAATTATTTATGGTATATATTATAATTAAAAAGCAATAATATATGTGAACACCATAAATACTTTTTCACAAAATAAACAAATAAATCTCACATAATAAATGTTGTTGAATGTAAAGGGTGAAAAGAAAAGAGAACAATGTAGAATTTGCTTAGACTGAATCCCTATAAATAGAGCTTTCATTTCGCTTCAACCTGTACATTCAACACCATTGTGGCTAGTGGTATTAAGGCTATTCTCCCAATAACAAAATAGGTTTCAATTAAATTGATCCCAAAATATGAAGATCTCCAACATCTTCCTTCTCTTCTTACTCACATCTTTCGTCATCCTCGGTAAATACCTTGAAATCCTCTTCTTTTCTCGATGAGGATGTACTTTAACTGGTTTGTGCTTACTAGTGAAGGGGTTTTTAGGTGAAGGGAGATATTAATACTAAAAACTAATAATATTACCGCTAGACCACATTCTTGTTCACTATGTATTTTCATCATCTTATTCTTCATAAATATTCGTCCTTGTTATATAGGAAATGAAGTGGCCATGGCGAGGACGGGAATCACTACTACTGAAGTTGTTGGAAAAAGCTATAAGAAAGGAACAGGGGCAATCATCAATGAGGAGTGTGATCCATTGCCATGCATGGATACATGCAGGTCGATCCATTGTTTTGGTCAATGTTTAGGTCATAGATGCACTTGTTATTGCGCACATTGATTAACAATATAAAATTTCCATGCTTTGTGAGAATTAATTATTTATCAATTTGTATGATCATTATGATTCGATGGTAGTCGTTAGCCAGAGATGTTTTAATTAATAAAAA